TCCAAACTCTTATAGAGAAGACTTTGAAATGAAAGTAATAATGGAACAAGAGGAGATAATTCCCTAATTCCCACATTAACATCAGAAGCCCATATAAACAGGAGAACATCGGCAGCAAAATATAACAGCTTTAACACATCTAAATAACAACTTTTTCTAGAGAATCTATGCAACCAATGTGAGACCGATGCTGAAATATGCAGCACCGGCATGGCATCCGCAGCTAATAAAGCAGGAAAAACAAACTGAACAAAGAAGTACAAAGGCTCACAAGTCGAGCCTGGCCTCGGGCCGGGCTTGGGGAGTAGAAGAACTCCCAGAACCCCATCAACCAGGTATCAACCAGGTTTGCCACGAGACTATAGTGCCAAACCTGAGAGGACTGAGCTGTGAGGATAAATTAAAGGAACTATATCTCACAGCACTAGGAGAGAGAGAAGGAACAGAAGGGACATGATCTCGACATGAAAGATAATTATGGTAATAGACAAGATGGACAAAGACAGCCGCTTTCAACCAGGAGACAAGAGGACACAGGTGGAAGCTGGAAACACAATTGAGTGGAAGGAATGTAAGGAAATACTCGTACCCTGTATGGGTGGTCAAATAGTGGAACGCATTGAAGGAAGAAGTTGTAGAAGCCACCTCCATCCTAATCTTTAAGGCCTAGATACGATAAAGTCTTCGAACTACTGGACAGTTAAAATTAATTGCAAAAATGTACAATGGCCCTACTTCACTGTAGTTAGCTAGGTATAAGTACCTTCTTTCTTTACCTTTCTTTACCTCTTTAACCTTCTTTTTTTAACCTTTACCTTCTTTTTTCCTCTTTCTTCTTCTTTACCTTTCTTTACCTCTTTACCTTCTTTCTTCTAATACTTCTCCTCTATATTCTTCTCCCTTTTCCCTTTTCCTCATCCACCTATTCCACTTTCCACTCCACCTTTTCTTTGCGTTTTATACCTCTCACAAGAGTTAGTAGTTTAGTTCATTTATTATGCACCCCATACCCATCTTGTGGGCGGTAGTGGAAAGGGTTACAGAGGCACACAATGGGCTCAGGGACTGAACCTCACAAGTTCATTTAGCTAAGCAAGTTACAATCTTGATGAGCTAGTTACAAAATTCAGTATAAGTCGTCACATCAACAATGGGTTCGAGCCATGAACAGTTAGGTATTAATAAAATTACCAGTGGTTAGCCTCTCGTTTGGCTTTATATAAGATTGTTTAGTTATCCAACCAAGAAAAATGGGCCTATCCGGCCCCCCATATGTGTGTGTCCGTGTGTTTGTTAGTATCCGGCTGCCTGATGGGAGGGGGGTGGGGGGTGGGGGGGGCGGGAATAGTCCCGTTTTCTGTGCGTCAAGCCTCGAAGGGGTGACTCCAACTCCCGCACCTGCTCGGATGTCAGGGACGTCTGAGGACTCTAGGGATGTCAGGGACGTCTGAGGACTCTAGGGATGTCAGGGACGTCTGAGGACTCTAGGGATGTCAGGGACGTCTGAGGACTCTAGGGATGTCAGGGACGTCTGAGGACTCTAGGGATGTCAGGGACGTCTGAGGACTCTAGGGATGTCAGGGACGTCTGAGGACTCTAGGGATGTCAGGGACGTCTGAGGACTCTAGGGATGTCAGAGACGTCTGAGGATTCTAGGGATGTCAGGGACGTCGAGAATTCGACTTCTATTATTATCAAACGCTGATTTTATGTCATTATTTTTGCTGTTGTTGAGTTCTTGCTATTGCGTCATGGTATTCCTTTATGAATGAGTTTAAATGGATATAAATAGGAGTTGCTTTGAATGGCTCAATAGACTTTTTGCCGTTATCTTTTGTCTTTTAACGTGCTGTTCAATGCAAAACTAATTCCCCTCCTAGGCAAAGATCACAGAGTCTCAAACCAGTGTAGCGCTAACTTTCTGATAACGTAATGTTATCTTGCTGTGTCTGCCATTGCAATTGCGTAGTTATTTAATTAATTAACATTGTAGCATGTGTTCTAGTGAGCACTTGGATTCGTGAGGATAACGAGTCTTGATCATTCTAACTAAATAAACGTATTTATCATTAACCAAATCGCCTTCTAACTACGACCCTTGATCATTATAACTAAATAAACGTATTTATCTAACCAAATCGCTTTCCAGCTACAGCCAGCTGCTAGGGGGAAACAGATGCTTTGTAAGTCATCACTCATGCCATCATCACTCATCACCATGAGTAGACTCATGGCCGTCACCAAGCAATTTAGCGAGTCATGCAACCTATTAACCCACAATGCACTTTTATGTTGTTCCACATTACACGTTATCGCTAGTTAATGAGAGAGAAGTGTATGAGCTTCATATTAATTATATTTAGTAATGGCTTCATTGCTATCCTTTGAGTGGTGGTTGATCCCCTACCCGTCCTGTGAGAGGTGGAAGAATGGCTATAGAATCCTATATAATGGGTTCAGGAACCAGGGAGCCGGTGGCTGAGCGGACAGAACACTGGACGCGGGATCATGTGGTCCCGGGTTCGATCCCGGGCTGTTAAGCCCGGGATATTGTTAAGACACCCCCATCATTTCTTTAAGGAGAGTCTTTATATATATATATATATATATATATATATATATATATATATATATATATATTATATATATAATAATATAATAAAAATATATATGGAAGGGAGTACCACCTCTGGCTGGAAGAAGGGGGACCCATAGCCTCGGAGGAAACCACACATAACGCATTGGAGGGAATGTGGGTCCCCTCCAATACAGTTTCTGTGTGCTTTTCTCCTACCACCCCTATTTTCTCCTATATATATATATATATATATATGTCGTACCTAGTAGCCAGAACGCACTTCTCAGCCTACTATGCAAGGCCCGATTTGCCTAATAAGCCAAGTTTTCCTGAATTAATATATTTTCTCTAATTTTTTTTCTTATGAAATGATAAAGCTACACATTTAATTATGTATGAGGTCAATTTTTTTTTATTGGAGTTAAAATTAACGTAGATATATGACCGAACCTAACCAACCCTACCTAACCTAACGTAACCTATCTTTATAGGTTAGGTTAGGTTAGGTAGCGGAAAATGTTAGGTTAGGTTAGGTTAGGTAGGTTAGGTAGTCGAAAAACAATTAATTCATGAAAACTTGGCTTATTAGGCAAATCGGGCCTTGCATAGTAGGCTGAGAAGTGCGTTCTGGCTACTAGGTACGACATATATATATATATATATATATATATATATATATATATATATATATATATATATATATATATATATATATATATTCATGCTACAAACGAGTGGAGAAATAGCAACATCGACCATAGTATCCGTACCCGCATTAAACAACACCTCGACATCCTCACAGACCAACATCACCTCAGCACTGAAACAAGGATTATCAAGAAACTAACAACATTATATGGAGGACCTATGGCAATTCCACGACCAAGAGATGGCTTCCTGAACCTTGCAGGAATTAACCTCACTGAGGACCAAGTCACTCTCCTAAATCTGGGCATAAACTGTCATGTTATGTCCAGACCGAGTGAAATGGCCCGGAAAGTAGAGTTGGAAATTCTGTTGGACGACATATTCGACCTCGAGACACAAAAGAAGGTCACTACCAAAGATACCTTACAAGCAGAACTTATTGCAGAAGGAGGAAAGAATCGAGGCAATTACAGAAGCACCATACTGTCCCCCAAGCTTAAAGCGGCAGCTAAAAGCCTTCGTGAGAACAAGGAGATAGTTGTCAGGAGAGGTGACAAGTCGCCAATATATGTCATTCTTAAAAAAGACGAATATCTGGCGAAAATGAACATCATACTCTCTGACCAAACTAAGTTCCAAAGGGTAACGAAGGACACTACAGCCGAATATATATATATATATATATATATATATATATATATATATATATATATATATATATATATAATATATATATATATATTTGTATAATCTTATATATAGATTTGTGTTTATCCTCCATATCAATAGTTTCTGGGGGTTATCTCTATCCTTCTTTATAATCTTTCTTAAAAAATCGTAAAGTTAATTATCAGCTATGATGAAGACTGTGTGAAATAAGGGGCTTAGCTGTGTGATCCCTGCTTTCCCTCCTCCCCCCCTGTCCTAGACTATCACTCCCCTTCCATCCCCCTCTTCCATCACCTCTTCCCCTCTCCTCGTCCCCTCTTTCCATTCCTTACCTCCAACTCTTACGTTCTAACAGTATTTATGCTCGTACAACTCACTAACGATTACTATGGCTGGCAACATGCAATTAATTAAGTTAGTGAATTTTTCCGGAATAACGTCTCCGAAGTGATGGTAGAACTAAGATTGATGGATTGAAGACAGAATTAAGGAAATTAAGGAAAGGAATATACCAGAGTGAGAGAGAGAGAGAGAGAGAGAGAGAGAGAGAGAGAGAGAGAGAGAGAGAGAGAGAGAGAGAGAGAGAGAGAGAGAGAGAGAGAAGAGAAAGCGAACGAGAAAATTGATATGGAAAGAGAGGGAAGAGATGAAGCAAAACCAAGAGAGAGAGAGAGAGATAACTATCAGGCGAAAGTGCCAAGCCATTACGACTATATAGCTCTTGGAAGAGGGGTCAGGATAAGGATTAGGGATGGGACGGGGGAAGGAATGGTGGCCAACCAATGGGAAGTGGGTCAGGATAAGGATTAGGGATGGGACGGGGGAAGGAATGGTGGCCAACCACTGGGAAGTGGTTCAGGATAAGGATTAGGGATGGGACGGGGGAAGGAATGGTGGCCAACCACTGGGAAGTGGTTCAGGATAAGGATTAGGGATGGGACGGGGGAAGGAAGGATGACGCAAAAGCAAGCATAGATAATAACTAGAGAACATAACTAGAGAACATCTCACGTTGGCGCCTGAAAGAACATTTCTAAATGCAATAGCCAATTAGTGACAAGATTAGATAAAGACTAAGCAATCGCATTAATCTACGAACGTTGGGATGGAAGGCGTAGGAGCCGAGCAAGCACGTCTAGCCAAGTGTGCAGGTGAGTATATCTAAACGAGTTGTTGTTTAAGATTCGCTACTTGGAACAAAAAGTTCCAAGTAGCACGGTCTATGGTGAGCCCGTTGTGGACTCACCTGGCACAGGAGCGAGGCTGTGTGTCTCTCTCTAAACGAGTACATTTAGGCACGTATATACACGCCTGATTATATATATATATATATATAGATATATATATATATATATATATATATATATATATATATATATATATATATATATATATATATATATATATATATATATATATATATCAGAACCTGCATCAGAATGGCTCGTTCATATTTTCTGATTTAGTGTGTTCTTAATTGTTATTTCAACTCATATACATAATTGACTTTAAGGTCGGAGAATAAAGCGATTCCCATTCAAAGTGAGGATTTCTAAAGGGATTGAGCACAGCTGGGAAGCCCTGCGCTCTACGTGAGTGGGTCCACAAAGAGAGGGACGTGTGTGGAGTCGTGGGACAGACAGCAAACTCATACGAAACATCTTTACGCGCGTGTGTGTTCGGGTAGCCGGAATGCCACCAGCCTGTGGACTAGACTGGTGGCCTGGTCCACACCACCAGGAATGCCTGTGGTGTGGTGCAAGGCTCACAGTCTTCCCACATGAGAGAAACTCACCACAAACCCTTAGTCGTTTGCTTTGCAAGGCTGTCAACTTGAATTCGACATTCTTCCTGTGGCACCATTAACCAGGAGGGCGCTTCACTCACTCTGCCTGCCTCCCACATGGCATTATATACCTCCATTTGCCCCTAGCTTTTGTTTTTCGTTTTGTTTCAATTTCCATTTACTCTCTCATTGTGCCTTTCCTCCTCCTCTTCCTCTGTCTTGTTAACACCTGATATATTCACACTTATCTCCTGCCCTGTAGCCATCGCTTCTCCACTACCTCATTACATCCGGCTCTCTCACACTCATAGTCTCTACCCCTCCAATGTTCTTGCTCTTCGTCCTTCCAACACCCCTTCCCTTCTACATCTCTACCCCTGCAACACACCCCTCCTTTGCAACACCTTCCTCCCCCTTGCAACACACCACACAGTGTCAGCAGCCTCTCAGTACGCGCCTCCCTCCCTCCCTCCACTCTCGCGTCAACGCCTAAGAAACAAAACCTCTTCAGAAGGTCTCAGGAATCCGAAGTGGAGTGTGAGTGTTGCGCCTTCCCCCTCAAGCTGTCGTGGGCGCCGATCCGACAAGTCCCTCCGCTAACGAAGCAGGTAAAATATCACTGGAGCAGAGGACACAACAACACGCCTCTCAACACCTTTCCCCCAGCACCGCACAGCTCGTAAATTGGCCTTATCGCGGGCCATCTGAGGTCAGCAAATTAGCCAAGTCGCCCCCGCCCATCTCGCGGCCTCGAAAGCCGGCTTCAAAGACCCCGGCTTCACCGTCAGCTTCATCATACTCCGGAGCCTTTCCTTACGATGAATCCTGAGATGGAACTTTGTGTGTGGAAGCCATAAATCACGGGAGTCTTGTTTAGGCTAGATAGCGAGTGTAGTCACGTCTGATGGGACAACAATTTCAATCCATTAAGGGGTGATCCACGGCCCGTCCCCCACTCAGTCATCGGACGTGCGGTCTGGGCTTGATCACATAGAAGAATGACCAGGCCGGCCTTCGCTCTGGTTACCTCAGTGTGGACGTATAAGGCCAGTGCTGCTGAGTGATCCTTATAATTCTTCTTGGCCTTAACTTCAAGAGGCCAAGCGCCAGGCTTTATAGTTCCTCCACTCCCTGAGTGGTAGTCGCCCTGTTCCTCATCATTTTTAATTAGATGCCCTTTGGCAGTTAGTGCAGTTTAACTGCCTTTACCCCCCTAATTAAAACTACCAGATAAAACAGCCGAACTGATCTCTCTCTCAATGCATATCGTGGCTTCAGTTCAAGGCATGAATGTTACATAGAAGAGGCACAGCGGGAGTGTGGAGTAGGAGGAGGAAGATAAGGAGAGAGGGTAGGGGGAAGGGAAGGGAAGGGGGAAGGGAAGGGGGAAGGGAAGGGGGAAGGGAAGGGGGAAGGGAAGGGGGAAGGGAAGGGGGAAGGGAAGGGTCTGTGTGTCTGTGTGTGTGTGGCGTTTCGGACGCAGTAAGGCGGACCAAGACATCAAACGATGCCGCTCTCTCTCTCTCTCTGACCCGCACACACATAAATCTTCGCTTGTTTTATGCTTCCCGCTGCTCCCCCTCCTCCTCCTCCACTGCTACGCTTTAACTATCCCTCGCTCTTCCTCCTCCTCCCGTTCTCCTCTTCCATCTACTACTACTACTCCTACTACTTCCATCCTGTGGCACTGTACTGTGCAATATACAGTTAATGTCAATAACTCATCAAGACTCACTGTTAGCATTACTTGTCCTCTGTAGTATTTGGTCACGTGTGTGTTTGTGTCTCATTTCACCAGCAACTGTGCTGGTATGCATGGAGATGAGCTAGATGAGCTCATCTAGCTCATCTCAGCATGGAGATGAGCTAGCTGGTATATCTCAGTCTACTAAGTCATGTCTGTGAACCTCATGTTGGTAAGACGAGTTTTGTAGACAAGTTTCTTTCATAATTTCACTTAATGTTTTCACGGGAACAGAAAATGCACATAGTCTAGCAATGATAAATTTAATATTAACTTTATGTCATGATATGAGGAGGTTATCTTGAGATGATTTCGGGGCTCAGCGTCCCCGCGGCCCGGTCCTCGACCAGGTCTCCTATTTGCTACATATCCTTAGGAAGTAGCCCGTAGCAGCTGTCTAACTACCAGGTTCACTGCTAGGTGAACAGGATCATTAGTGTGAAACGAACTCTGCCCATTTGTTTTCACCTTCACCAGGGATCAAACCCAGAACCTTAGGACTACGAATCCGAGGCGCTGTCCACTCAGCTGTCAGGCTTTGAGAGGAAGGCCTCATATTGATTATTTTCTCATGATAATGCTCTAAGTGCTTATATCAGTGGGTATAAGACAGTGATGGTGACAACAGATATATCCGGCTATTTTTCTGTTATATCCACTTTCAGTATGCCTCACTCACTGCTACCAGTGATGGCAGTATCCTCCCAGAACACATCAAAACTGAGAAAAAGTTCACTGTTGCTGGCCTGAATAAGTTTATGGGCCTTTGCTTAACAGTGAAACTTGATGATATTCATATTTCATCTAAGGAATGACATTAGAGCTGTCTCAACGAATTTCTTAATGTCATGTCAATGTAAATTAATCTTTGTCAATCTTTCTCCATAAAAAGGTTTCTAATTTTCGCGATTAATTTTGTCATCCTACGCTGGACGCGTTTTAGTGAATTTGAATCCATATGTACGGCGACCAGAACTGAACTGCATAATCTAAATGGGGGCTAACCAGAGCAAGATATAGGTGAAGAATACACTAGGTGTCTCATTACTAACACTTCAATAAATAAATCCCAGTGTCCTATTTGCCTTATTACGAACATTGATGCATTGATTTTTTGGTTTTAAATTCGTACTAATCATAACTCCCAGATCCCTTTCGCAATCTGACTTCGCAATCTCAACACCATCTAGCTCGAATCTTGTAACTATCATCATTACCTAGCCTCAAAACCTTATATTTGTCAGCATTAATTAAACTGCATCTACCAATCTGTTGACCATTGTTGACCATTGACCATTGTTGACCATTGTTGACCATTGTTGACCAATCTGTTGACCAATCTCAAAACCCTATTTAGACGGGCCAAATATGGGCCAACAGACCCGGCCCTGATTCTTATGATAATTTAAGTGGCAGTAATTTTGTCTTTCCTACACTTAAACAATGCTTGAGAACGGACTCCTGCTCAAGCATTGAGACCTAAAGCTTGCTTTGGCCCTGAGACAAAAACTGACTTAGACTTTGAGACCTAAATCTTACAGAGGCACTGAGATCAAAGCCCTCCTCGGGTTTCAAGTCTTCAATATTGCTAAGTCACTGATACGTTGAGTCTTTTGAGGTAAAAAGTCTTTAGGTTTACAGAGGCCTATAGATTTAATGTTATCTGAGGCCCAGAAATATAATGCCTGCTGATGCCCTGAGGCATAAATCGGGGTCACGGCATCAGCCTTAAAGACTGAGACCAAAGGACCTTTAACTTGTCTCTTGTGTAAAGACAAAATAAATAAGTCTGAACATATCCCCGACAGTTCGTTCCAATGCTCAAAGGGCTAAAAAGATTTTTCCTCCAAGGTAACTGTCTTTGGGAAAGGCTTAAAGTCTCAGTATTTGTGGTCGTCTGAGAGATTCTTGCGGGATGACAGGAAAATTGTCTGAAAAGTCTTAGGGAAGGGTCAACTTAACGAGTCGATGAAAAGACTTAGTTAAGTAGGAGTCACTTTAAAAAGTTGAAGATCGTTGGTGCGGTGAGTTAGCCAGACTGATTTTGATGAGTGAAAAGAATATTTGTTTTGTATACTCAACATCTTGCACCCACCTAGTTGTACACTCCTAGTTGTACTTGTGAGTGGAGGAGTTACAGCTCTCTATAACCGCTTCTCAGCCAATAATCAACAGGTGTGGGGGTGATTAGCTGCCTGAGTAATTAAGTTTGTGTCAAATCTACATTCGAAGCTGTGATTGGAGTGCCTCTCCACCACTTCCATTCTTAAAGTATTCCCTTTCTTCAGTACTTCGACAACGAACAAATTCTTTCTCGCTCGAACAGTGGATAGTGGCGGTGGTGTTAGCAATCGCTGGCGCCTTGGGGACAGTAATGGTGGTATTTAACGAGATAATAAATGGTCTCGTTAAACAATAATATCGTCATTATGGTGGTGACGATATTATGGCTGGTGATAATGGTGGATAGAGGTGGTAGTGGTGATAGCCAAGTTAAGAGAGAGAGAGAGAGAGAGAGAGAGAGAGAGAGAGAGAGAGAGAGAGAGAGAGAGAGAGAGAGAGAGAGAGAGAGAGAGAGAGAGAGAGAGAGAGAGACAGAGAGAGAGAGAGAGACAGAGAGA